TCACCGAACCTCGCACGCCATGGGCTGCGGGAAGAGCAAGGCGGTGCGGGTGGCCGAACAACCTGAGCTGCAGGCCGGAGGCCAGAGCGGCCAGGGCTGCGGTTCTTCAGGTACGACCGAGAGGGAAGGCGCGGCCCGACGGCGCGGGCCCCGAGCGGGCCTCGAGCGCCCTCCAGACCCGCGGTGGTGGGCGACAGCGCCACTTTGCTCCGCAGTTCGCGGTGGTCGCGGGCCCGACGTGCGCGGAGCTGGAGGGTCCCGGCCCTGGGCAGGCTCCGGCGGCGGAGACACGCCACCGCCCCGCGTTTACCCAAAGAAATGGAGGCCAGACAAGGGGCCGGCCCGGCCAGGTGGCCCTCAGAGAGGTAGGAGGTTGAGGGAGGAATGTGCCCGCTGCACCTGCCCCAAGACGGTTCAGAAACAAACCCGGAGAGAATGACCAGTCGGTTTTTTGCCCACGGGTAGTGACGGTGTATCTTGTTACAAGCACCACGTTTCAAAAGGAATATTAGAAGGGGAGGGGCCACACTTAATACTTGGCCAGGGGCATTTCAAAAATTCGGGCCCCTGGGCGTAGGGTGACAACCCCAAATCAGAGAAGCTTAAGGGCCAAAGGGAACTTTGGGCCTGGTCAGCTGGAGATCCTGACTGCGTAGGTCCCGAGTGGGGCCCACGTGCTCCCTCACACACACCCTCGTCCGCCATCAAGAAGCTTAGATGAATCTTCCCTTCTTCCCCTTGAATCTTAGGCACATTTCCTACACTACTATCCCACTTTATCCCTTCAGTGACTCTTGGAAATGAAAAAGGTGCTTCTATTTTGTCCACTTTGCAGAAAGGATAATAATAGCTTACGGTTACTAGACACTTTAAGCACTTTACGTAGATAATCTTGTTTCATTTTACCAACAACACTTTTGAGAGGTTTATCATAACCCCCGTTTTACAGATGAGGAAACAGGCACAAAGAGGTCATGAAACGTGACCAAAGCCCCACAAACAGTAAGTGGTAGAGCTGGGATGGATACAGGCTGAGGTGATTGGACTCCAAAGCGCAGACCATAACCATTCTACTGTCCTCCTCCACTGGTTTTGACAGGCGTGTAAAGTGGAACCCAGAAAAATAACTTGCCCAATTGATGGAATTGTTAGATGCTGTAGGATCTGTCTTTCAGGGGCTTACAATTCAGTTACAAGGCAGCTTGCGGTGAAGGGCTAAGAGCAATGGTAGAAACAGCTAAGGGGAAGGCGGCTCCCTTGGAAGAGAGGATTTGGCAGGGGTGCCTGCAGGGGAAGATCATTCTTGCTGGGAGAGCAGCTGGTAAGATCAATCTGGAGAGTGTGAGGGTTCATATTCTGCTGGAGTCGAGGACTCCAGTTGGGGGAAGGGAAGAATGGCAGAGAAGTTTGGAGGCAGCTCCTGCTCCAAGTCAAGCAGCTAATTTGTGGCCATTGCCTAAGTTTCTTCTGTTAAACCACAGGCCCCAAATGGCATCACTCATGTGGAAAGCCCATGATACCAAACCTAGATTTAATACCTGATCTAATTGCAGTTTCAGCCTCTTCCAGAAAAATAATCAGCTAGTTTGGAATTTTCTAGCCAAGTACCAGTAAGGTAATCTGTCACATGGGTCCTCTCCATCTCCCGCTCCCACCCCATGGAAAGAGGCAATCTGCATGATAAAAACCTTTCTCTTTCTTTTCCCCCAAAGAAAAGGTGTCTCTGCTTAAAAATAATCCTTTCTTCTTTTTTTTTCCCCAATAATAACTGCCTTACTCCACTTCTCTTCCTGTAAAAGCTTCTTGATAAAACCTTCTGCCTTCCCCTAAGGGGAGGTGACCTTGCCTTGAAATAATCCACTCTTTTAACTTCCTAGTTCCACCCTCTTTCCGATTATAAAAAAGTTACATTTTGTACAACTTCCTGGAGTGACCTTCTAGTTGCTAGATAAAATACTTCCTAATGACTTAATTAAAGTCAGTTAGATCTTCAAATTTACCCTGTTAAATTTTGCTTTTTTTTTTTTTAACACGTGTCATCTATAAAACAGAGTTTGAGTTGGTGTGTCCCAAATTTGCCTTTCACGTACCGTCTTCAGGATTTTTCCAATATCCATGTACTACCATTTATTTACTGTTTTTCTTTATATCCACCTTTAAAAATACTTTTTAATTGGAGTAGACTGTATGTCTAGAAAAGTGCAATTATCATAATACAGCTTACTCAATTTTTACGAACTGAATATCCCTGTGCAGCCAGCTGAAGAAACATTTTCAGTACCCAGAAGTTCCCCTGCTGCCTCTTACTCCCAAGGGTCACCACTGCTCTTGATTTGTAATAGCATAAAAGTTTCACCTGTTCTGCATTTAGTTTTTAAAGCAAATTTAGCATTGTTTTAAGCATTCATCTGTGAAAGCACTGCTTTGTCCTACTTTCCTATACACACATATATATATAGATCCTATTGAAATTTAAAAAGTTCTTTCATGTATCACCTATAAACATCCCAGAAGCTATCTTCCTTCAGCACCACCAATGATCCGCGCATCAAATTTAGTGAAATGCTGTATTCTGTGTTCCTTCTCAATATAAAATTATGTGGCTTGATTCGAAGAAACTGGTTTCTTAAATGAGCAGCAAGAATCGAATGTGAGGTTTCTCACCCTTTGGCCCAAGTTGTAATGATGAAGAATGTGTTGATCGAATGACTTCAAGCAAGCATTTATTATTTATTAGACACTGGGGACTCAAGAGCAAACAAAGCACAATCTCAGGCCTTGAACATACAGTCTAGTAGAGAGGATTGATATGGAAAATGCAGTGTCATCATGTGTAATCATAAAGGCAAATGGGTGCAAGATACTGGGGAAGAACAGCGGAAGGGATTAACTTCTGGGTGCTTAGAGTTTAATTTGCATTTCTGCCCTGAAACAGATTCCATTCTATTTTAATTAACTTACAAACACTTATTTTTTCTGCAGGATGTTTGAGGCTCAGGAACATGTTTTGTTCATTATTTTATTTCCCACAGTCCTTGGCACACTGCCTTACAGAGAGTTGGGACTCAACAAATGGATCTCTGTGGTCCACGTAGCAAAGGGCAATTTCTTACATGTGAGGAATTTTCCAAAAGCTGATGTTATTAATGATGACCAGGTTCTCCAGCGAGGTGAGAAGACAGTGTTTCTCAAAGTGTGACCCTAAGCCCAACTGCAAGAGAATTACATAAGGTGTGGGGGTGTGGAGGTTAAAAGCTCATTTTCATGGTCTCCACCCCAGACCTACTAAATCAGCCTTAGGGTATTGGGTCAGGAATCAGCACTTTTGGTGCTCCAGGTGATTCTGTTGCAACCAGACTTTGAGAGCTTGGCAGTGCGATGTTTGGATCAGAGTTAAACCACCTTTCCCTAAGACCAGGCTCCTGTCCTCAGCAATGGGGTGAGGCTTGGGTGGAGGTAACTTGCAGAACTCTGAGGCTGATAAGGTGAATCAGAAGTAAAGGAAATGGAACACTGTAGTGTAGAACCAAAGGTCATCCTGACCGCCACACTTGGAATCTGCCACCAGAGGTTAATATTACATAATTTATTAGATGATTCAAGAGAAAACTTGCTTTTAGCCTATGGTAACCAGATAATTTAAATAAAAGTCTGCTCATTATTTGGGATCATCATACTTCATACTTCTTTGTATTAATGTGTACTGAGTATTTAAAGCTTTTAAATTATTTAGTCTTTTTTTTAAGTGCATTTTAGGTTTACAGTTGGATTAAGTCCGTGAAAGAAGGGATTAATCTGCCTGGTTTTTTTTTTAAACCTTTATAGAATGTCATTGAATGTTTCATGAATGTTCTTTATATCGTCTTCAGCTCAGAGCTTTACTTTGCTGGCAGAAACCAGTCTACATGTATATGGATGTAAATCACTATCACAAATCACTGTTCGAAGGTAAAAACAAACTCTTTGTTACCTATACCATTAAGTGATAGTGCAGTGGTTTTCAGCTTTCAACGTTCAGGTGTGTCAAGAATGCCTTATATGTGTGTTACCAACTTTCAATTAATACATAAAAGTTGTTGGGGTTTTTTTGCCACAATTGAGTGTATGTGTGCAGCTATCTGTGTGAGCTGTGTAAACACACACACTTCAGATGTCAGTGTCTGTTAGAAGATAAACTGAGCTGAGCAGGTGATGGGAAGTAGTATAGACTGAGAAACAACTTGTTAGAAGAATTTAAGGGGCCGTAGTTGAGGGATTGCAAACTCCTATCTACAGGGACAGGCAGGTGATACAAGTGAGCGAAGCAGGCAGATGGCAAACAATAGAAAGTGGTGGAGACTGGGATGAAATGAGGAAAGAATCCTTTAAAAGGGGTAATTGCACTTAGTTTCGCTTCCGTTGGCTGGAAGGATGAATCTAGTGTTGCCAGACTTTCTCATTTTTCAGGAGAAACTAGAAATCCCTATTTATTATTTTCATGACGTCTTCCAGTTTGCGAATGTCAGTAATAATTCAATTAAAACAGCGAGGGCCAAACAAGATATGATTGCAGATAATTATGGCCTGTGAATGTATAGAATATTGTCAAGTTGGCATACATTAAAGAAAAAAGATGGTGCCTTTTGAATGTATAGGAGAAGTGGCCAGGCCAGAGCAGAAAACATTTTTTCTTAGAAAGCAATACAAGTGACGGAGTGAACAATGTAGTGACTGTTGTCAAATATGGTTTTCAGAAAGTTGACAACATGAGTTTTGTACAAAATGGACATGTATAAAAATGTATTAAACTCATTAATAAATGAAGGAATCAGTAAAGTGGTAAAGCTGATTTAAAGGAGAATTCAAGGAGTAGAGACTTAATTAGTCAAAGAAATGCTGAATTGAATTTGCTAATAGTTACAAAACTGATTAATGTCCTACAGGGCAATAAAACTGTAACCTTTGAAATGTGCAGAAATGTGCAAGTTAACATGAAACTTCTGTGTCTGGACTCTAACAAAGTCAAGTGCAGGTACATTTTCTTAGAGAATCAAATGATCCTTGAATGGGCTTGTTAATGCCCCAGTATGACCTTGAAAGGAAATTGTCATCCTCTTCCTTTATTTCTAAG